GCTGTGAGTTCACCACCCACACCTCCACCCAGAGCTCCAGGGGGCACCTCTATCCTTCTAGGTGGTTGCTCTGGTCAAAAACCTTGGCGGCATTGGATCTCAAACCCTGCATCAAACCCCTTGTCAGGTCGCCAGCAGATCCTGTCATCTCTACCTTCAGATGACAGCTGGGCACCACGTCAGACCCCACGTGCTGTCACCCTGGTCTGAGCCTCCATCCTCTCCTGCCCACTTATCCCACTGTGGCTTCTCAGTCTTTTTCAGCCCAGAGCCAGAAAACGTCCATTTAAAACCAGGTTACTACGTGCTGAGAGCCGTCCAGTCCGTGTGTCACTCAGTTCAGAGCCAGGCCTCACTCGCCCCTGCAGAACCCGCCTGGGTCTGACCGCTGCCCCTCCTGCCTCAGGCATCTGCCCTGTCCGCCCTCTGCACCTGCTCCAGGCCTGTCAGCGTCCTCCTGTCTCCCCACATACCAGTCACAGTTCTGCCTGAGGGCTGTTGAACTGCTTCCCTCCCTTCCTGAACCTTCTTACCTCCACAGGTTGCTCTCTGCCTTGTTCTCCCTTGAAATGTCACCTTCAGGCGAGGCCGGTTATATATCACCATGTGCTGGCACTCCCTCTTCCCCTGCCCTGCCTTGTTCCTGGGCTCAGCCCTGGGCAGCATCTGGCATACGATGCATTTGCCTGTTTATTCCTTTATTCTCTCTCTCCGTCCGGTACATTGTGAGGGCCGTGGCAGCGAGAACTTCATCTTGTGCATGGTTGTGTCTCTAACATCTGGTTTATTTTGGGTGCTTGTTGAACACCTGTTTCTGAATGAGAGAGTAAGGTGAATGGCTCGGAAACCCATGCCCTTTTCCATCACGTCTCCCTGTGTGATCTTTGGCATTCTGTGTGTGGGGCTCTCTGTTGTCAGGTGACTTGTACCCTGGTGGCAAACTGACCTTTGACCTGGCAGGTGTGTTGCTTTATCTCATTCGTATGCAGATGTCTTTAGAGATAGTCTCCTAAGAGATGGACAGTTAAGAAAGTGACTATTCTTTTTAGCATTCATTTTCTTTTTTTTTTTTTTAAACTTTTTTTTTTGTTTGTTTTATTTATTTATGATAGGCACACAGTGAGAGAGAGAGAGGCAGAGACACAGGCAGAGGGAGAAGCAGGCTCCATGCACCGGGAGCCCGATGTGGGATTCGATCCCGGGTCTCCAGGATCGCGCCCTGGGCCAAAGGCAGGCGCCAAACCGCTGCGCCACCCAGGGATCCCTTTAGCATTCATTTTCTAATAATGTTTAACTACCATTGAATTCTGTGTGATAGAACTAAATCCCATTCTCATTATTTGTAGAGACCAAAAAGAAATGCATATAAAAGATTTTTAACTCCTGCATCTGTTTTTTTTAAGTTTCAGGAAGTGTAAAACTTTTGTTCTTTACATCAGATAAGGCTTTTTAAAAAAATATTACCTGCAACTCTTTCATCAGTTGCGGTGTTTATTTTGAACAGTTAGATTCCATATTTTCCCACATTCCTCGCAGAGTGCCAGCAGGAGTAAATATGCGTCCTTACACTTGAATACAGAGATGTCTTCATGTAGAAGGTATGGTGGCTCTGTCCACAGCCCTGAGCTCACTCGCTGGAGGCCACCCACCTCCTCTCCCTCCTCCATCCCTCAGATTCCACCCTGGGGGAAAAGCCAGAGTCTTTCTGATTTGCATCAAGTGATCTCAGACTTTCAGGACCCAGGAAGTGATTAGCTATTGGAGGCTCCACTAGATGCAAAGTCAGCAGGTAGTTAAAATATAGTTAAAAGCTACAAGTGAAATAATGTATGAGTCACCGAAACAAGTATTTATGAACAAAGTGCGCTGCTAAGAAGATGCACTGCCCGTAATCTGTTTGAGAACATTGGAGTTGTTTGCATTTAAAAGAAGATGCACTGGCAGTAATGTGTTTGCGTTTAGACATGTTTTCTCTGCATCCTGGTTCAGCTGTGGTGAGGTGAGGGTGGTTCTCCTTCCCCATCACTCTGTTTTGTTTCCTGGTCACACACACGCCTGTATTGGACTCATCTCTCCGTTTTCCCCTCTGGTTTACTTTTCTGAGCTCCCATTAATCTGTCCGTGCCTTACTGAACCTCTTACTTCAGTACTATCTTACTTTCATCTGTAACTTACTCCTTCAGGGTCTCTCTGTAGTAATTCTGCCTTCTAGCGTTTTACTCTCACATTTGCCACTCCCTGAACCCACCCCATGACAGGTTGGACCAGAGGCAGTGGAACTACCACCTATTTAAAACCCAAGGGAATATTCAGGGCTAATGACCACTGGTAAAGGAAACAGAGATGTTTGTTGAGATGTTTTGCAAACCAGTTGGTTCTTTGAGCCCTGTATATGCCAAGTATCAAAGGTGCAGAGTTAACTAAGGCAGAGTTCTGGTGTTCAGTGGCCCGTGACTTTTGTGGTGACAGGAAAGTAAACAAAAAATTAAAAAACAGTATGATGAATGCTTTCAAGCACAGATGAGAACGGGCAGGTGGGAGGGAGCCTGATTAACCTGTAGAAGGAGTAGGGGATCTTGATTGGACACTTAGAAGAGTCTGTTTATTTGGCATTTTAAAAATATTTATTTAGCACATATCTTGAGCCAGGCCCTGGGAATTCAGAGGTGAAAAAGACTGTTGGTTCCTTACCTCATGGGCTTTCTAGAAAGGAAAGACAGATTTAACAACAACCGCTGTAATTTGATTAACGAAGCACCCATGAACCTGAAAATATTTTGAAGGAGGCAAACAAAGGTTAAATGAAGGGCAGGTGTGGGCATTGTGGCAGAGGGGCCACTAGAGGTGGCGCTGTCCTGTGGGCCCCTAGGACAAAGTAGCTTCTCGGCTGGGACTTGAAGAAGGGGCTGTCTTGGCAAAACAGAAAGAGTGGTCTAAGTAGACGGAGCAACGTTTGGAAAGACTCTGGAGCCTTCACCTCTGCTCCCTGCCTTCCCTCCATCCCTGGCGGGGAGCATGGTTCTCGGATCTAGCACCACAGGCTCGCACGCCCCGTCCTCCCCGCCCAGCTCATTTCCATGAGCCGGCTGCAGCCTGCACACCTGGCAGCCACAGGAGCCCCCACACCTGACACGGGGATGCCCCGACGCCGGGGCCACAAGACGGGCGCGCACTCAGAAAGCACACAGCTGCAGGTTTGGGATCATCATATACGTGTGTGTGTCACTGAGTTGATGAACTTCGTTATTTGATCAGTCGTTTTTATTATGTTTTGAGAGAAAATAGGAATTCGAATTTAGAACCCAAGAGTATTTTGTAATTCTTGGGTGAGCTATACGATGAAGAGAATGAGGCAGGATGAGAAAAGTGATTCTTTGCCCCCAGGGAAGTGGGAGTCATTATTTTTACAAACCTCAGAGGCTTAGAAAACATCCTGCAAGCTAACACGGCAGCTGGGTGTTCCTGGCAGCCTGGGGGGGGATAGGTTGTCTGAGGGATCATTTCCCCAGAGTGAGTGGTGGAGAGGTAGGAACTGACTTGTAAGGGAACCCAAGGGGAATCTCCTCCGTTATGCACTTTGAGTTTGAGAGCAGTTGTCATATGACGGGTGCGTGTGTGTGTGTGTGTGTGTGTGTGTGTGTATGTGATCTTGCCTGTCAGGTCAGTAGAATGAGCAGTTCTGGGGCCCAGGTCTGTGCGTCTCATTGCCTTGGATGGTGTTCTTCTTTCTTTAGGAGTGGAAGGATCCTCGCGTTCGGCCAGAGGTGGAGTCCACACCGAGCAGTCTCGAGCTCTGAGTGGTGGGGACAGGTGGAAGAGCACTGGGTCCCCGTGGTGGGGTCTGAGCTTCCTCCTGCCGCTCGCTGGCTGTGTGGCTGGCCTGTTCTGAGGGCCTCTCCTTGGCTGTGCGGTGGCGGTGGCCATGCGTACCCCGAGAAGATAGAGCTCACACTCTACCTGTAGGCAAAACACCATTTCCTGGTTTTAGGGAAATTCCCAAAATATAAATAAATACCTTGTGATTAATTGTTCTGTGATATGAATGTCTAAGCTAACGTGATAAAGGATAAAGGTATATCCTGGTGGCTTTCTTATGTGGATTGACTTATTTTTCCTTTCCAAGTTATCCATTCAATTACAGATTATAAAATATAAAAAGATATTACCATCTTAATTATGACATGATTTAGCGCCCTCATTGAAGGGGGGCTTTATTGGGCACTTGGGTGGCTCAGTGGTTGAGCGTCTGCCTTTGGCTCAGGGCATGATCCCAGGGTCCTGGAATCAAATGCTGCTGCATCAGGCTCCCCACAGGGAGCCTGCTTCTCCCTCTGCCTGTGTCTCTGCCCCTCTCTGTGTGTCTTTCATGAATAAATAAATAAAATCTTAAAAAAAAAAAATAAAGGGCTTTAGGTGTTGTCCCTAGGGCAGCTCTCACGAGCCCTTAGCCCCTGGTCTCAGACAAGCGGGACAGACATTGTCCTGTTTCTTCCTCGCCCATCCCTCCTGTTTTGTTCTGCATTTCTCACCCAACCTCCTTTAATTTTCTACCTATTCCCCTTTTCCCAACTCACTTTCCACCTGTAAGTCAGCTGAGGCAGAAGGCAGCATGGTATGTTGGAAAGTCAAAATCATGAAACCAGGGCCACGCCTGATGCCCGGGTAACCCTGTGGCCTGGTGTCGGCGCAGTCGGGCAGCAGCGCTGCTCACACAGGGTCTCTCGTGGTTTCTCTCTCTCTGCCTCCGTCCCATCCCTTTCCTTCCTTTCTCCCTTCCTGCTTTTTTCAAAGCAAGGGAGAAGGCCTAGATCTAGCTCCCATGCCTTCCCCAAACATGGCAGCCCCTGGATTATGTCTTTGCAATCCCTTGGAGGTCTTTTTTTATGTTAAAAAAAATGTCAGGATTTTGCAGTTGTATAAGCAGAGTAAACTCTTTTTCATACATCACAAGTATTTTTTAAGTTTCTGCTTTTAAATACTTATTTTTTATTTTGTCACAGCCCAATGATGATAATTACCCAGAAGATCACTAGTTTGGCTTACGAGATTCATGATGGTAAGAATCTAGAAATTAAATTTTCGTCACTGAAAGAAATCCTATTCAAATGTACTTTTGCCTGAGATATGACCCTAACTTTCCGCTCTTGTATTAGGGGAGTTTAGAAAAGGGAATATTTAACTCTGTGTGTGTTTATTTTTCTGCAGTGTTTCATCTTGGTTTCACACTTGATTCAGTGACAAAAACAGAGTATAAGAATGGGATCCTGTCATATGACCCGCATTAGTGGCGATTTAAAATGTAAAGGAAATAGACATTTGATCTAAATCAAGTTGTATTAATCCCTGCTTCATCTCGTGTTACATTTTTATTAATATTTGAATGTTTTCCCCCGTGTCCCTTATCCCTTATTATATGATACATACAATACATACACACAGTTATATATGTTTTTAGCATAAATATTTGCATATTCCTATTTTATATTTTCAGTGAATGGACACCTTGCCATAGGAAATGCTAATGGTGTGGGCTATGAGTCATGAGTTGGCTCTGGTTTCTTCACAGGCTGGAGGAGCATCCCCATCAGACCAGTCATTTGTAGTGGTCTAGGGAGCTTCTTGCACAGGGTTTTTAGCCTCACTGTATAGATCACCCATCCTGTACCATCTGTTAAGGAAGACCTACAAATAATTTTTAAGTATATCGTTACTTCTTAGTTCAGTCCTCCTCTGGTCTTTAAATTAACGGGCTTAGGATCTAATAAGAAACCATATCCTCCTCTCTGAGGAGAGAAGGTAAAGAAATGGATGGAGATGGTATAGGAGTACCTTTTTCATTCCTTAGCATCGTAGAGAGGTAAGGAAATCATTCCTTGCTTTGTGTTGAGCTTCTAGCCCATAATACTGATATTAGTCACTTAAAAAATATCTAATAATAGAAACACTTTAATACCTTCTTTTGAAAGTCATAGTGTTTACTCTAAAATATGTTAGCAATTTAGCAATTTGAAATTTTTTGGTAATAATTTCCTCTAGAGAAGAGTGAGATTTGTGCACCGATGAGTGTTATTTATCTTATACAGACCTAGACATGTTGGTCCACATGGTGGTCCTTTGACGTGATCGAACCTATGTGGCAGGGAGAAAGAAAGGAACCTGTTATTCCAAAATTGGGATTAGAGCTTGAATTTCCAATGAGAAAAGGGGAAGAAGTGTGAATGGGAGAAAATACCATTCTTTTCTTGGGGGAAACCATAATTGATTACAGTACCTGTTTGTATTTTTCAGGGATGTTTCGAAAGGATGAGGAACTGACTTCATCACAGAGAGGTTTAGCTGTAAGGTACGTGCCCCCTTATCGTGTCCTGCCATGGTCCATGCTGTCTCTGCCTAGGATATACTTTACTCTCATGGTTAAGGCAGATTCGTCCCGCTAGAGGTACTGACTTCATGAAAACCAAACCTGCCTCCCTCCACATACCTCCCTGCCACCAAATCTTGCTAGGCTAGGCTGTCTACCCCTCCTAGGGCTCCCGTGGCACTTTGGATAGATCATCCTACAGTATGTGCCTCTTATGCACCATGAGGATATCAGTACATTTTCTGTCTCTCCTATGATTTTCTGAGTTCCCTGAAGACAAGAAGATCATATAGTTTTCATGTCTGCCATATAGTAATGAGTGATAATCACTGCTTCCATTTATAGACCAATAACTTAATGGCAGGTACTGGGCTAAGATGTGTTAATATATTACATAGATGCCATGTTTTGAACCAGTAAGCTGTCCTTGATATTTGAGGAATTCATTCTGGGTGGGTTTCTACTTCATTTATTGTAGTATTCTGTTGACTAATCTGAGGAATAGCTTAATTTCTCAGGAGGGTCTGCCCTAACCTAATATAATTAAGAATCGAATATGTATTTTTACCTAAAGAAAAAATTCCCAGGAAGCCCCTTGTTTTTTGTAAATCTAGAACTAAGAGATGCATGGCTGTCAGAGGAATAAGGTTCAGTTTGTAAGCGTAGAGAGACCCTACCCTGAGTGTTCACTTTTGGTAACGTGTCTTGGGAATCTTCTTACAATTTCTCCATCTTTATGGTTATTCTATTTTGATACTCTCTACAGCCATTGTTTACATACCAGTAAACGTATACTGGAATACACTTAGGTGATGAGAGATTCCTTTCATCTGGGTTCTCTGATCTTAGGAGACTTTTGCCCAACCACTGTAACCTCTCCCTAATAGACACTCAGCCCCCATTTCGGCCTTTCCCTCCCACACCCCCACCTGGCAAAACCCCAAACCCTATTAAATTCAACTCTCCGCCTCCCCAAACAGTGGAAGAAAGCGGAGTGGAAAAACATTCATTGTTGATTGGACTTGTTCTGAGCATGTTCCCACAAATTTGGGATTACGGCCGGAGTGTTGCTAGGAGTTCCACTGCATCTGTCCCCTCGCCCTCCCACCCGTGAGCTGGTGTGTTCCTTCCTCAGACTGCCAGCACTCCCTCCCCCGCACTCACTTAGGATGGTAGCAAAGTTTGACTCCTGGAGAAAATAAAGGCAGCTCTACTTCCTTCTGCTCCCACTAAATCTGCTACAAAATACTCCCCTTTCTGCCCCATACCGAGTATTAACTGTCCATAATCCAGTCCAAGGCCAGCTTCTCGCTTCTCACTGACTCCAGCGGCTTCTCTTTGAACTTGGGGATTTTCTCCTTCAGCTATCCCATCCCTCGCATTGTCACTCATCGCTTCTCCCTGTCTTTCCCACTCCCTGGAAGGAGAAACATCTTGACCTCACTTGCCCTTCCAGCTCCCTCCCCATTACTCCGCAGCCTTTAGAGCCAGACTCTGTGAGAGTCTCCCCTTCCTGGTCCCCCATTCCCACCTCAGCCCCCTCACAGTCGGGTTTGTCCTCACCACAGGTCTGACAGCATGTTTCAGGGTGACCCTTAATCTCTGTGGGTGTGACCGTCAGCCTCTCCACCCCGTCCCACCCAGGGGACCCCTCGGTCCCGGAAGTACCTTCCTCACCTGGGTTCTCTTCCTGCCTCTGGCTCTTTCCTTCTGTCTTCTTGCCAGAATCCTCCCCTCTGAGGTTCACCACTGAGTGTTCGTGGGCTTCACCCGTGGACTTCACCATCCTCTGGGGATCCCGTGCAGCCCGGTGACCTTAAGTGGTGTCCACGTATTTGAGGTCGGAACCGTCCTCCCACGACACCTGTCTCCCGAGCTCCGGCCTCATAGCCAACTGCCGTTTCAGCGTCCCGGCGCGGATCTGAGCAGGCATCTCAGTGGAGCACATTTCAAGGGGGAACTCGTGATTCCTGTCTCCCCTTCCCTCTCCCCAGCCTACCACCCGTCTAGTTCACCGCAGCACCATTTGTCGCTGGTGTTTTTAGGGCGAAAACCTAGGCAAACTCACATGTTCTTACTGCAGATCCGCTTCACTGCAGATTCATTCCCTCTCCTGGGAGGCCTGTGTCTCACCTGTCCGTGACATCTGACTGTCTCTGATCGGACCGGCCTCTCGCCACTCCCGCCAAGAGCCCCCCAGCCGGACCCTCGAGCTCTACTTGGTCTACTGGGGCAGCCTCACCCGCAGGGCTCAGTCTTCTGTGTTCTTTCCCCCCAGCCTGCTCTCCTCTCAGCAGCCAGACGTCTTGTAATGTGTGTTGGATTATATTACGCCCCTCCCGTGAGGGAGGCCCCTCCGCTGCTCCTCAGGTAATTACCTGGGAGTCCACTGACTCGCTTAGGACCACCTGGCACGAGGCCCGACGGGAGCTGGTAGCTCGTAACTGCGCAGACGTCTCGTCAGAAACCCCCCTTCCCTGCCGTCACTCTCTGGCCCTTGGCCCGGCTTTATTTCTCTTCATAACGTGTGTTAACTGTCTGATGTTAGATATTTCTTTTGCTTGTCCCTCCCTCTACCTCCCTCAGGTAAACTCTGTGAGGATAGAACTTCCCATTTATCATTATATCCTTGTCACTTGGATAGCAGTTCTCTACTGAGGACGCCTGTGTCCCTCAGTGTCTGGAGACATTTTTGGTTGTCACAGTGGAGAGGAGAGGCGGTGGTGCTACTGACATTTAGTGGGTGGAGGCCAGGGTGCCCCTGGACATCCTGCAGCGCCCCCTCCAACGAAGAAGTATTGTCCAGAAAAGTCCATAATGCTGAGATTGAGAAGCTCGAACCCAGAACAATGTGGAGTTGATCCCAAATAAACATGGAACGAAAGGATGGTTCTTTCACTTAATGTCATAAATGAAGTATTGCAGTCATGCTTTGTTCTCATTTTAATAGCGAACATCATAATTATCTACTTACTACCAAAAATGACTTCTCATTTGATAGGACAGTTGAGCCAGAAATTACCTCAGCAAATTTCATGGTTCAGAGTTATCTCCTGTCCTTGCATTTGTGATACATAGTTTGACTTGGGAGGACTGGGCTGCGCCTTGATAACCTGGCATTGGTTGGGCCTTGAAGTAATTGGTGTTGAGATGGAGCTGTCATGGGAGCACAGGAAGTTCTATTGTGGATTTGATTGTAGGGAGCTCACCCCAGTGTTTGAGGCAGAGCATTCTGTTTCAGTATTACAGAAAAAAAAAATGCAAGAGAAAATCTGCCAGCAACAATTTTCGCTCCTCAATTTTGAGCCTTCAAGAGAAAATATGTAAGGCTCAAAATGCTTTTAAAAGTAGAATAATAATTCTGGAAAAAAAAATCTAAAAAAGGAGTTTTAGTGACATAGCTAGTATCAGATGGACAGGAAGCCTTGTTTTCTTTTGTATTGTTTTTTATAAAGATACATATGAAGGGATCTGTGAGCTTCTCTTGGCCACAGAAGAGTGTTTGTGCTTTTTAAGGAAACCGCTTCTCAGAGGAAGGAAGGATCGTAACATCTTCCAGAAGCCTGCTTCCCATCCTCAGGTGTAGTTCTTCTATTTATGATAGTTTAGAATTGTCAGCGGGAAGCAGACTTAGTAAATGAAGCTGCTGGTAGAAAATAAATAAGGGGCTCCTGGGTGGCTCAGTTAAGTGTCCAACTCTTGATTTCAGTTCAGGTCATGAGTTCAAGCCCCACAGTAGGCTCCAAGCTAATCAGGAAGTCTGTTTGAAATTCTGTTTCCCTCAGCCCTTCCCCCTGTTTTCTCACACATGCTCTCTCCCTTTTTCTGTCTCAAAAAAAAAAAAAAAAAAGAAAAGAAAAAAAAAAGAAAAGAAAAACAGAGGCTGATAATTCACCTGTATGATGATGTATATATATGGTCAACATGGGCTCCTGTGTTGCTAGGTATTTTTTTTTTACCTGATTCCTTGCATTAAGAACTAGAAAGCTCGGTAAACTTTAGATGCCATGTGCTACCTGGATAGACCTCAAAGCAGTTGAGTGAAAAACGTTGCAAGACATCCTTCATTCCTTTTTCTCTTGCACCCACATCTAGTCTACAGGCAAACCACCAGGCTATCTCGCAGACTATATGTGGGTGCTGCCTCCCCCACTGCTCCCAGCCACTGTTGCCTCCTCCTGGAGATCCCAGTGGTGCCTGCCTGGCCTTCTGACTTCCACTCTTGTCCCGTCCACACTCAGAGGCTAGAGGGATTCTTTGGAAACATGGTCTTTAAAAAACCCTACTGTTGTTTTTCATTGCATTCAGAGTAAAGTCCCAAGTTCCTACCATGACTTATAAGGCAAGCCCTAGATAATATCACCTCCATTGTCTCTGATTTTCCTCCTGTCTCCCTGGTTCAGCAACACCAGCCTCCCTGCTGCTGGACTGCCCCCTTCAGGGATTTTGCACTGACCCCTCCCCCTGAAATCCTTATCTCAGATACTCACACAGCTCCCTGTCTCACTGCCTTCCGGTCTCTGCTCAGCTGTTGCCTTATAAGAGGTCTTCTTTGACTTGTTAATGTAATAATAATAATAAAAACCCTTTATTTTCGTAGTACCCAACACTTCTGAAAATACTTTTTATATGTATATTTTAATTATCTGCTTTCTGCATCTGTTATGTGAGCTCTGTGAATGCAGAATATTCCTCTGTTTTGTTTACTGCAGTCTCTCTAGACCCTGGGGCATGTGGGCACATAGTTGGTGCACACATGGATTTGTTGAGTGAGTGAATCATGAGCTAGTGAGGGATGATTCTTTATGCCATATCTGGTCTGTCTTAGGTTTGTTTTATAATGAAGAAGTTCAGTAGCAACCCTTTGTACTTGCTCACAGAGATCTGTATGAAAACTCTCATCCAGCAATACTGTTGAGCATTACTGCACCCTCATCTTTTAAATTCTTATCGTACGAATGCCAGTGAAAATGAAAGCTCGTTTCGTTGAGGAAATGGGAAGAGCAACGAGATGGAAGGCCGTGATTACTGCTGGATTTTCGGAGAGCTTGTGTCACATCTCACGAGCTGCGTGTTTTACCCACAGGCGCATGCCGAGCCTCCTGGAGTACCTGAGCTACACCTGCAACTTCATGGGCATCCTGGCGGGCCCGCTCTGCTCCTACAGAGACTACATCATCTTCATCGAGGGCCGGGCGCAACACAGGGCACAGCCAAGCCCAAGTGGGAAAGAGGAAATGCCATGTGAGAGAGCAGAGCCGTCCCCGAACGTAAGCCCACGAGATTGATCTGAGCCTTGATGGCATGTGTTGATCGTGTTGTTTGCTTAAAGATACTAATGTCTTCAAGGTTTGAACTTACTATGTCTTTGAAACTATTTTTAAGATAAATGACTCTTCACAGCGCACCTAGTAGTGATGCCTGGTAGCAGCACGATCGTGCTCAAAGAACAAAACTAAGGTTACTTAAGAAGCGGTGCTGAGGGGCACTTGGGAGGCTCAGTCATTTAAGCATCTGCCTTCCGCTCAGGTCATGATCTCAGGGTCCTGGGGTTGAGCACTGTGTCAGGCTCCCTGCTCAGCGGGGTGTCTGCTTCTCTCTCTCCCTCTGCTACTCCCCCTGCTTGTGCTCTTGTGCTCTCTCAAATAAATGAGTAAAATCTTAAAAACAAACAAAAACAAGCGATGCTGAGCTCCTGAGTGAGAATGGTGCTTCACAGTTACCAAGTATTTTACAGGAAAGCTGTGTGTGCAGAACTGACCCAGCCAAGTTTCCTAGGGTTTTTCCTTCCCTTTGCTGAAGTTCCAGCTAATTCAGGGTGTTCTCCTCTCCTGACTTCCCTCTCCTCTTCCTGGTCATCACTAGTTGAAATCTTGCTCATCTTCAAAGGTCCACATCAGGGCACCTGAGTGGCTTAGTGGTTGAGTGTCTGCCTTTGGCTCAGGTCCTAATTCTGGGATCTTGGGATGGAATCCCACATCTGTGGGGAGCCTGTTTCTCCCTCTGCCCGTGTCTCTGCCTCTCTCTGTGAGTCTCTCATGAATAAATAAGTAAAATATTTTAAAAAATAAAGGTCTATATCAAATATCACCTTTTCCATAGAAGTTTTCCTGATTTCCCACAATAAAAAAGTTAACAATAGTTTCCACTTTGGTAGCACTTCCCCCCCTGCCTGGCCCTGCTGGGGACACTTCACTTACTCTCTCCAAGCTCACAACACAAGGTAGGTAGTTCACTGCTTAACAGATGAGGAAACCAGGCCTACGTAATTTGATGGAGATGTCCCAGGTTGGCAGTAGGAAACTGGAATTCAGACCCCGACAGTCCTGAGTACAAAGTCTGTGCTGGATTGCCTCACAGCTCAATATAAGCTTTATTTCCCTTGAGCTGCTGGGATATAGATGCTCCTGTGTCAAGAAAGACTCTGAAGCTTTGTGTAGGCTGAGTTTCTGTTGGATTTGATCTGGTAAAATTTAAGAGTCCCATGAGAAACAGAAACCGATACAAAAGGTCTGAGAGACGAGAAAGGGGGCTAGTGTGTTTTTTCTGAATGTGGAGCTTGGAGCAAAGGATCACCTTCCTTCCCTAAGTTATTACAGAATGAAGCATGAGTGAGGAAAGGTGCACACATTCACAAAGGCTCCTATTTTATCTCTTTTCTGCCATGTGACTCATTGTGTTTTATACCAAAATGGTCCTTTTATCTTCATCCTTTCTATTACTGGCTAAATGTTAATTGATAAATGCCGTATCATACTGGGTTGAATTTCACACTTGAAATTGAGTACATTCACATCTCTCCCATTGACTATTTTTGTGTCTCAGGCTGACCACTTAACCCTTTAGAGACCTTTAGAAGTCTCACTGCCACAGGAGAAAGAAAGGGTTATTATATATAGATAGCTTTGATATTCCAGAATAAGATTCTGGAATTCTGGAAAGAGGACCGAAAGCTAGGAATCAAGGTACTGAACATAATGTAAAATATTTGAAAAAAATCTCAAGTGCTATAAACTTTGGAGTACTAGTAAATCAAACCCAACAAAGAATAATTCACATTTATATATTCTATCACCTGACCCTGAATTTTAATGGGTTTTCACTCTTATAAAATGCCACGTTTCCTCTCTTGGGTGGTAGACATCATAAATCAGAGGTTGTTGGCAGTGGCAAATATTCTTAATCTGCTATCGTACTGTCTTACTATGTTTTGAGTTTAAATTCCACACGTACAAAGTTCACACAGAAGTGGTAGTTATTTACAAATCCCTCAAAGGCATTTGGAAGCTCTGTGTGCATCCGTCGGGTATGTAGGCTCTTATGATCCAAAGTAGGGCAGTCAGATAGCCAGTGGCCTTTTTGTTGGAATTCTCAATTATCTTGGTCTAAATCAGATAACGGGTTTAGGTGCTGAAACGAGGTAGAAGTTTCTTTTTCCCCTCACATGACATCCAAAGCATCAGTTGTCAGTCAGTAATGTGGTGGCTCCATGGGTCGAGGATCCAGGCTCTCCCCTGTTTCTGCCATCCTGGGGGTGGAAATGCAAGCACACGGTGTAAGCTGGCTCGACTCAGCGCTGTGCACGTTACTTGAGCTGACATCCATGGACCGCATGGCTACACTTGGCTGTGGAGGGGACCGTGGTTGTGTGGTCAAATAAAAATTTAGCTAGACGTGCTCAAATAAAAATTCCATCATTGTGCAAGAAGGGGAGGGTGGCTCCGGGGGAACACTTGTCAGTCTCTGTTGTGATGTCTGTAGGACTTTTCTCTGGAGCTGGGTCCCTTCTTAGTGAAGGATCCTTCGGTCTCCTACAATCTTACGAGGTGGATACAAACTTGACTGCTGGTTTCTGGAGCTGGCCTGGGCACAGGGGCTGAGGATTTCACCTCTTAGGATATGGACTTCCTCCAGAGTTTCCACGTTCTCATTCTAGCACTTACCCAGTCCCCCACTCTGGACTCATGTCCCTAAGCCTGGGTCTTCGGCTTCTCTGAGAGTTAAGCTCTGGCCTCCTGCCTGTATGGTGGCTGGGTGGCACTCGACCAAGCAGAGAGGCCGTGGGAACCAGGGGTCATGCCCCATCTCCCTCCTTCCGAGGTACCTGACCCCACATTGCCTGAGCCTTTGTGGGGACTCTTATGGCGTGTGTATGCGCCACCTGGTCATTGAGATCAGCTAGAGGCTACTTTAATTTTTGTTTTTAAACTAAGGCCTGGAAAATTGGGTCTAGTCTAATGGCTGCAGTATTGCTCATTGTGACACTAAGATGATCCACCCAATTTTTATGTTAATGTGTGAGGCTATTTGTTTCATCTCACTGCATTTACAATTCCAATTTTTCTCTTGTTTTAAATCTCTTCTCAAATGCACAGCTTAGATATTTGGGGGACGGATAAAGAAAAGGTAGCCTTACCATACTGGAGAAAGCTTTAAAAAACATTGAGGAAGGTGAGAATGGGGGCTGGCTGCAGCAGAGATTCCTCAAGCACACAATACCTCCAGTGAGCCGCCTGAGAGCAAACACAGCTTTTTCAGAAATGCAGTGACTCTGGTATGTGCTTTGACTCTTGCCTCTGAGCCCTTTCTTCGGGCACTGTTACAGAAAGTGTGAAAATAGGAATACTCTTTGGCAGATTAATTTGAATACTGTTTGTTTTTTTGTTTGTTTTTTTTGAATACTGTTTGATTACAATGCAGGACACTCAAAATCCAGGTATTTTGTTATGTTCCATTACCTGGATGTAGCTTTTCCTTTCTTCCACTTGTTTCTTTCCTTTGGCAGGTTTTATAATCTCCCCTATATTGAGTCAGATTCAAATATTCTGGCCTATTAAAAATACAAAACCACCATGAATTGGATTTTTTTTAAAGATTTTATTTATTTATTTGAGAGAGAGTGAGATTACAGAGGGAGAGGGAGAAGCAGACTTGCCACTGGGTAGAGGAGCCTGACTTGGGGCTTGATGGCTTGATCCCAGGAACCCAAGATCATGACCTGAGCCAAAGGCAGACACCTAGCCAGCTGAGCCACCCAGGCGTCCCCATGAGTTGGATTCTTCTAAGGTGATTTAACCTTACCAGGATATAATAAAGAGTGGCCTTTTTTCCCCCCATCAGAATCTTCTTTGCAAATCTTTTTGTCTTCTTGGGTGTGTAACTCTTTTGGTTTATCATTTGTGAACGAAATTTCATGACAGAGCTTTCAGATGTAAAGAGATGCATTAAATTGTTTATTGTAAAAATAATGTCTGTGAAATACATATAGCATTTGAAAAATATAGGGAAAGCACAATGGAAAAATAAGCCATGTGTGTTTGTGTGCGTATAATATAAAACCCACTACCAAAAGTTACTGTGAATATTTTTGTGTATTCACACCTATATGCCTGTGTTTGCTTTCAGATTTTTTTCTTTTTTAAGATTTTATTTATTTATTCATGAGAGACACACAGAGAGAGGCAGAGACACAGGCAGAGGGAGAAGCAGGCTCCCTGTGGGGGAGCCCAATGCGGGACTCGATCCCAGGACCCCAGGATCATGACCTGAGGTGAAGGCAGACACTCAACCACTGAGCCACCCAGGCATCCCTCAGATATTTTTTTTAACTGAAAGCTTTGAAAACACAAATTAAGGTTTCTAGTGTGACTTGAGTCCTAATCCAGAGGGAGTAGTCAGAGAGAAGAGGCTGGAAATTTTCCTGCTGTGAGACTCTGAGGGCTTGAAATGCTGAGCACCACGCAGTTTATGATTTTTGACTAAAGGAGAGTAAGAAAGTTCATACTGCATTCAGGAAGATTAACCTGGCAGTAGTTTGTCAAATGAATTAGAAGGGGTATGGATTAAGCTTTTGAAATCCTGTCTTGTCCTTTCAGATCGCAGTTATTCAGAAACTCTTAATCTGTGGACTTTCCTTATTATTTCACTTGACCATCTCTAAAACATTATCTGTGGAGTATAACATTGATGAGCGTTTTCAAGCTACAGCCTCGTGGCCGACAAAAGTTGTCTATCTCTACGTCTCTCTTTTGGCCGCCAGACCCAAATACTATTTTGCATGGACGTTAGGTAAGTCACGTCTGAGTAAACCTGACTGTTGCTGTGTTGAGATGTACCCTACCCTGTAGCTAGCTGGGAGGGTGCCCTCTTGAGGATACATAGTTAAAGACCAATTGGAAAAGACTAGAGTCCTGTATTAGAAGAAACAAACTTGACAACTCCTATCCTAAATACAAGGAAATAGCCTAAAACCGGTTAGGATATCCTAGAAACTGGATCAAGGCTCATTTTGTTACAATATCAGATAAAAATAAGCATGAATAAATCTACTTTTACTGTTTCAGAATAAAAAAATCCTAGTATATAGTAACGTATGTTTTGGGAGAATGTGGTAGATTGTTACATGGATTCTTAATACTGTCTTTTCACTTTGTTTACTGCAGCTGATGCAATTAATAATGCTGCAGGCTTTGGCTTCAGAGGATATGATGAAAATGGAACAGCTCGTTGGGACTTGATTTCCAATTTGAGAATTCAACAAATAGAGGTGAGTAGATCATTTACAAGTTAGTTACCATGTGATACTTTACATACCATGCTTTGCTTTTATGAGTTATGATGTGATGTTCCAAGAGTGGTATTGAAGTCTATTTGTTAATAATACCCATCTAATTAGGGGATCTAATAAGTAAGATTGGTGTGATCTGGGCCCTTGTGGAGCTTTAATCTAATGAGGGCTACAGGGACACAGAAGGATAGGTTGTGGTCAGAAAGGTGTAGGGTGTGTGCGTGCTACAAGAGAGGCTCCAACTCAGGTGAGATAGGTCAGGGAGGGGTCCTGAAAGAAATAGTGCCTTAAGCTGAGTCCTAAAAGATAAGGAAGAGGTCGCCTGACACTCCAAGTAGAAGGAGGGGTGCCCTTGGGGTGAGAAGTGGTGTGTGGCTCACAACGCAGAGTGGTGACAGATGAGCCAGCAGAAGTCAGAGGCAGGCCCAGACAGTTTCAGAGGCCATATAGGGGGTTTGGAGCTCTTACGAGAGCAATGGAGTGTTGCTGGGTGGGTTTTACGCAGGCAAGTGAGGTGATCACAGCTGTGGTTTGGAAGGATCTGGCTACATCAGGTAGAATGAGTTGCTCTCGTGGGACAGAGTGGTCTGTTGGGAGTGTTGTGTTGATGATGGTGCCCTAAACCAGGGTAGGGCCAGTGGGGCTGGAAAGACCTAAACACCTGGGTGGGCTGTTCCAGAGACTCAGCAGTGCTCGGTGTTACATCGACATCAGCAAGAGAGAATGAGTCATGAATCGGGACCAGTGTCATGGTGATGCCTTTCACTGGGAGAAGGAACAATGAACAAGCCTAGGTTTGGAGGGAAAGCCACTGTGTGTTCAGATTTCAGACTTAACTAAGTTGCCCAGCAGGCACATAAAAGACCAGGCACTAGCCTCAACTGCTGAGCTTGAGATCATAATTGGGGAACTGTCAGCGTGTAGCATTTCAAGTTTTGGGAGAAACCAGAGAGTAGTCATGAGAGAGCACTGAGAGACCCAGAAGGGATGAGACACCCCCCAAACCTCCCACACCCCTCTGCATCCCCCTGCTCCACAGGAGCACCTGTGCTTACAGACTGGGAGAGGAAGAGGCAGGTCAGGAGGAGGAGCCAGAGAGAGAAGAAGAAAACCAAAAAGGGACATCAGTTTGCTAACCTGGGAGAATTGATCCAAGGGTAGAAATCACTAAAACTTAAGGTGAAGGGTTGACAGACAGGTTTATAATGAATGGGTCAGGATGGACCCACCAATGCACCTTAGCATCACTGAGGGTTCGTCCCTAAAAGTGGGACAGTCGGTCGCTAAGCGCCCGTGGGTGTGATGCCAGGGGGGATACAGCCCTGTCTCTCCAGTATTTGCCGAGACGCTTAAACCCGAGTAGGTCTCTTGCTCTTGCTAAATTTAGAGGGAGTGTAGAGTTTAGGGAAATAAGTTAAACACACCAGATCCAGAAGTGGGAAATTCTACAGACAAATGACCCAATTTTTCTCAACAAATAAAGGACCTGGGAAAAGCAGGGGTCAGAGAGGAGCTCTTCGAGATTAAAAGGGATTTTAGCCAAACGCACAGTGTGCACCATGTTTGGGCCTTGATTGAACAGACAACCGGGAAAACATGTTTTTAAACAATCAGGGATATTTGAACACAAAATGAGTATTAGATGATGTTAAAGAGTAATAATTCGTTTTGTTAGGTCTGATCTTGGTTTTTTAAAAGTCCAATAAATTTTGAACTATTTACAGGTGAAATAAGACATCTGGCATTTGCTCTGAAATTCTCATAATAATGTCAGTAATAAATGGGGAAGGGGAAGAAAAAACGGCTAATTTTGGAAATTGATGAATGTATAAATATGTGGCAGTGTTTCTAACTCTTGTGTTCATTATTGGGACCTACAGAGACTTTGAGACATGTGTTTCCTAATCAACCCCCCATGAACCGTTGTACCACATATACTGTATATCCGTGTGTGTACTTTATGTATACATGCGCTTTATACGTGAGAAGAGTAAGACTTTTTTGTTCCTAAGAACTGGTTTTTATCCTCTTGGGAGCAGTATCACTCTTGTTGAGGATGCACAGGATAAGAGAAAGTAAAGAACAAAGGAGTTAGTTTTTCTAAAGGAAATCAGCGTTAAACGCTGCTGAAGATGTGCAGTAAGAGGAGGACTCCCGAGTGCCATCAGCTCTAACAACATGGGAGTTTATTGATGATTTTGGTAACAGTTTCCAGGGAGGGATAGACATTAAAGCCAGGTTATATAATCCGAAGGCATTTATTACCTGTACAAGGAAGGAGGGTAGAGATAAGGTCATAGCTGAGGAGAACAAGTAGTTGAAGGAGGGATTTTTGTTTTGTTTAATTTTGTTTTAAAATGGAGAGATTAAAAAAAATTAAAAAAAAATAAAATGGAGAGATTGACACATGTTTACCAGTTAGAGTATTTGAAGACTGTGTGAAAATATGGTAGAGGAGGAGAGAGGCTGATGGACACATGAGGTCCCTAGGAAGGTGGAGGGAGGGGATATAAGAAGACAGGTGCAGGGATTGTCCAAGTGAAAGAGGAACCAGGGACGGAGAAAGGGATGTGTGGAGGCAACTGACTTTGTAATTTTGATATGAGATGTTGGAGTCTGATGGTTTATGTCATCTCAATAAAGTTGGAGGCAAAGTTACCTGTTGTGAGGGTGGGAGGGCAAGTGGGAAAAAGTGATAGGACCAGAGATAAGAAAGGGGGGAACTTGTGAAGTATTCATTGGGATCTCATGGGATTGCTGATTTTTACCTGCTTTTGACTTACCAAAAAAAAAAAAAAAAAGACAATTTAAAATGGTTCAATCCAATAGCTGTTTTTAGGAAGAGGAGAATGAACTGTGTAGGGAAACAAGGATTACCTGCAAGGTTGAGGCTCAACTGATAGCAAGAAGTATGGGTTTAGGACCAAAGTCTCTAGTGCTGTATGATACTCTGCATGTGAATTCAGAGGTTATGAGTAGGGAAGGTGGAAAGTGTGGTTGATCTGGGGTTAGGATTTTGATAGGTAGGTGAGTTAAAAGGAAAAAGAAACAAACACATCAAGAATTTTGATGGGGATAGTAAATAGTGGATCATGGAATCTACATGGTGGGAAGGAAGTGAAGACACAGGAGGGGATAGTTATTGAGGGAAGAAGGAGAGATAGGGGACCAGAGGAACCTTTGACGTCTAGAGGAAGCTTTTATGGGGGAGGCTTGTGTGATGAGCCTAGAAGGGTGGGAAGATGGTGGTAGTTCCAAGTGGGGCCAAGGTTCCGGGTGGTCATAGATGGTGGCCGAAGAGGCATAGAGGTGGGGAAGTAAGGGACTGTGGCTTGATGGGATGGGTCCAGTCCCCAGTGAAAGAGTCATTAAAGGGGCCCTGAAAGGTCAATTACATATTGGGAATGTCTTTGGGATAATTCCATGACGACCCTGATAACATATAAGGAGAAAATGGTGATAATCCATTTATCTTATAGATGGCTTTTACAATACCCAAATCCCAGTTCCACAATGATGTTACTGTATTAGAAAAGCAATATTAAGAAAAGAGACCAGTACATGACCATCAATGCCAAGTAACACATTTTTAGCACAATAAAACATTATTACTTATATTTCAAGCTTCGTTATTTTGTTGGCCAAAGAAAAAAAGTTCTTTGTTTTTCAGATGTCAACAAGTTTCAAGATGTTTCTTGATAATTGGAATATTCAGACAGCTCTTTGGCTCAAAAGGTATGTGCCTTCAGGAGCTGTGCCACGGTATCTAATAATACTTGAGCTTCACTGAGTTAGATTCTTGATTAAAAACACTGTGTTGAGTGACATTGTGACCTCGATGTCAGCCAGGAAACACTGTTAACATCCTCCCGCAGCAAGAGTCTATCAAACAGGAGAACTTTCCGGCCCAGGTGGTAGATACAGTTATCGCCGGCCTCTCAGCCGCCCTCCCGAGCATCTTTCCGAGGCCTGAGATCATCAGTGTCCTCCTCTCATTCACTGGAGATGTGGTTAAATAAAAACAAAGTAGCCACACAACCACTATGCAGATGCCCTAGAGTTTCCAGAACAGTTCCAGTTTTAAAATATTTCCATTTGACATATGTTTCTGTCAAACGTCCTGTTAGGCACAGGACACAAAGATGAGTCCGGCAGACAAAAAGTCCCAGCCTCCTCAGCCAGAGAGTTCAGGAGCTTGTCAGATGCACAGCAGCGTCCCCTACAGGTGCCTTTCCCTGTAGTGAGGAGCAGCAGGGAGAGTGAGCGGGGCAGGTGGGCACGGGGAGGGGCTTGCTGGTGCTGGGATCAGGGGCTAGGAGTTGGCCAAGGACAAGGACGAGAGGAGGGAGGTCCGTACAGGCAGCCCAAGCCCAGCAACATTAGGAAATTGCATAGAAACTCCCAGCGACTCTGTCTCCATGTTCCCAATGAGACATGGGTCTCTACCTCGAGTTTATTTTATGAGATATTTACCCTGTGATGGTATAGCACTAAGCATGTTCTGTGGAAAGCAGCCTTTTCTGGGGAATGTCTTTTATTTTGTGACAAGTTGAGGAACTTTTTTTTTTTTTAAGATTTTATTTATTCATGAGAGACACACAGAGAGAGAAAGAGAGAGAGGCAGAGACACAGGCAGAGGGAGAAGCAAGCTCCATGGAAGGAGCCCAATGTGGGACTCGATCCCAGGTTTCCAGGATCACGCCCTGGGCTGAAGGCAGCACTAAACCGCTGAGCCACCAGGGCTGCCCTAAGTTGAGGATCTTTATCCCTTGAAATACCCATCACATGATACTTTGCAGTCTCCCGAGTGGCTGCAGATTCTCTGAGCAGATCTGTTGTGTGCTTTTTGTTATTGTTATATTTAAATTTGACACCTTTGGGGGCACCTGGTTGGCTCAGTCGGTGGAGCACGTGATGCTTGATCTCAGGGTCGTGAGTTCCAGCCCCACGCTGGCCATAGAGAAATAAATAAATTTGATATCTTTGGAAAAATCTTATTTTCATCTGAGTCCTCTACTCTGTTACCAAGGGAAATTTTAGACTGAGCGCCTCCAGACTTGCCAGAAAGAAATATTACTAGGTCAGTTGAAAGTTCTTAATTAAATAAAAATCATTAAAGAAAATAATAAAATAACATAAAATATATTTAATATTAAAGGTTTTTTGGTGAATCGTGTAGATTTCTAACCACTTGGCAATGATTATTTTAGCTATTACATATACCACAAAGAGATGAAAGTCAAGTTTATTTTCCTAAAGAAATAGGAATATTTTGCAGCTGTCACCTCCCTGATGTCACAGGTCAAGTTATTGCTGCCATTAGGCGTCGGCTATTTTCCTGATTACTCTGTCTCCTGTCAGATAAGAAAAGAATGATCACTGTGGACTATCTAAACTCTGATCACTCGCTCCCCTTGGCTCCCTGTGGTTTTCTGGTTTCTAGGGTGTGTTATGAACGAGCCTCCTTGAGTCCAACCATCCAGACGTTCATTCTGTCTGCCATTTGGCACGGGGTGTACCCAGGATATTATCTGACGTTTCTAACAGGAGTGGTGATGACGCTGGCAGCGCGAGCCGTAAGTATCCCGAATTCCGTTTCATACTTCAGTGCAGTCCCCTTGAGCTGGCTGGCGTAAGAGGCTGAGGACACCCTCCCTAGGCAGACCCTGTTTCTGGGCCCCAGTCGGTGCTCCACTCTGGCCGCAAGTGAGGCGTGCAACTGGCGTGTTTGTTGAGTGCTCCCAGGGGCTCCACACTTGGTTCATCTGAGGGGAAGAGTTGGCACGTGGGAGGTACCCACAGAGCGTTCATTGTCTTTACGGAATTTTCTGAACGAGAGCTGAAAACAGAGTTAAATAAAGGTGATCAGAAGGGTGGGTTTACTTTAGGAACGTGTCCTGAAAGTGGTCACCTTTGAGAGTCATCTTTTAGATGAAGAGTGGGGTGCAATTGGGTGTAGAAAACTGGGTGGGCCATCCCTGGGGTGGTGGGCACCACACTGGAAGCGGGACACAGTCCTTGGTTGGAACCCAGGGTGATATTTTGGGAAACAGTTGAGAAATGAGGTTGCTGACATGGGTGGGCAAAGAAGGACATTTAGTTTAAGTCCTTGAAAGTCCATCAGAAGAAAGTGACGTGACAGAGATGGTGCCTGAACCGGCTGCGTGCAGCGCTTACAGGCGAGAAGCCTTCAGTTAACAAACTAGCAGATATTTATTCAGTTGTCAGGTACCTTGGGGGGGTGTATGAGGGGAAACTCCGAGAAGTGCTAACTCTAAGGGCTGTACCTTCTGCTCGTTTGTGGCCTGATTGGGGCATAAGGTATATGTACACGTGAGTACGCAAACACCACGGGGCGTATGTGATACATCCTGTGGGTTCTGTAGTAAGTAACGGAGTCGTTCAGAGGTGAGAGAAATCCTTTTGGTTGGGTTGACCCAAGATGGCCTCATTAGGAAAGTTTGGATTTGGGCTTTGAAAAGATAAACGTTGTTTCAAAAGTGAGGGAAGCATGATGGGGGAGGAACATGACGTTCTAGGCACATAAATGACATTAACAGAACCACGTTTGAAAGTACCTGGTGTATTTAGAAATGACAAGTAAATCTGGCTGAAGCAAAGACGTCGTGAAGTCCTAAATCGTGGATAATTCTGGAAAGGCAAAGGGAGTGCAGGGGAGCAGGGGGAGGGCAATCATAGCAGGATTTGGGTGCCAGCCTGGGGACAGGCCTAATGCTCTTTCTGTCTGCATACCTGGGGGTCAGAGGAGGTTTGTAAGCTGAGGGATGGAATGCCGAAAGCCGTGCTTCAGGAGGATTGATTTGCCATCCGTGATCGGAAGGGAAGAGGGCAGGTAGCTGCTGTGGCGGTGATCCGGGCAAGACGTGGTGGGTGCCAGGGTCTGTTCCCGCCACTAGGAACCATGGTCTCTCCATGGGAGAGCCGTTAACCATACACCAGGTTACTTCTGGAAAACTTGGTGGCATCCTCATAGCAGGGCCGTGTTTCACCTCTGACCACGTTAGACAAAGCAGGGAACAGAGTTGCAAAAAGGAAATAATGGTTAAGTTTACACATTCCAAAACTGCAATGTTTTGACCTTTATGGAAGCTAAAAAAATGTGTAAAGAGTGGTGATTAGGAAACGCCTATTTTGAGAATAATGTTCGTCGTTGCCATTTATTCTGATAAGTGTGTTTTGACCTAAGCTCAGGGTATCGAGAGCCATCTGTCTCTCACAAATGCAGAGTTTAAAGAAGAGGAAAAGATATCTCAGTGTAGCAGAAGAAGTGAAAACAGAACTTTATTTATATATTATAGTTTACCAAATATGATTTGAGGAACTCGAAGAGTGTTGTTTTTAACTTTTTTTTTTTAGAAACTTTTAATTTGAATACAACTTTAGATCTACAGAAAAGTTGCAAAGCACTCCCACATGCCCTCTACCCAGATTCCCACGTTTTGCGCTCTCCATATTTTTTATACATCTGTGTATTTGTTTTTCCCGAACCAACTTCTCCCGTAGTGGTGGCACCATTTCCGATGTCCCACAGCAACGTGTGACAATTTCAGTCACTCCACATGCTTGAAACAGTTGGATGCAGTAATTGTAGTTTTATAAGCAATGTTAAAGACCAAGCCAATATTTTTGTTTCTTTATTTCAGATGAGAAATAACTTTAGACATTATTTCATCGAACCTCCCCAACTTAAATTATTGTATGATGTTTTAACGTGGATAATGACTCAAATAGCAATAAGTTATACAGTTGTGCCATTTGTACTTCTTTCCATAAAACCATCATTCATGTTTTACAGGTAAGTGTCACTCTTACAAATATATGCCAGGGGGAATAACTTTGTTTTTAAGAGCAAGCGCTTTGCCATTGGGTAGCATAGAAAAATAGCACCACAGCCGTACTCTCTGTGGTTACTTTTTCATTTTAAACCAAGAGGTCTCAAGTTTTTTATGGAATGATTCACACCACTCACCCCTGAGATGAGTGTGATAAAGACAGAGAAGTATCAGCTGGGTAACCCCCACCTCAGATCTCTCCAAGAGGTTTAACTGGAAGTATAGCTGTTCTTTTTATAGTTGGATGTTAACTAGACTTATCACAGTGATCTTTTTTTTTTTTTTTTGCTATATGTACATCTATCAAATCATTATATTGTACACCTGAGGCTAACATAATGTTACAGGTCAGTTATGCCTCAAGTTAAAGCTGTGACGTCAGGGCTAGATGTGGCCATGGGCTAGAGTTTGCTCACCCCTGCTCTGGGGTCAAGGTGTAGGGGTTGATGTGTTAGAGCAGAGGCGTGTGAGTCACTGGGGATATTCTGGGAGCGGAAGCAAAATACATCCTCCGATAATCATGAGTAAGTGCTGGTAAGGTCTGCCCACCGAGAGTCCAGGCCGCCAGACTGTTAACTCCAGAGACGAAAGGATAGGGCAGCTTGAAATAAGATGAACAATAGAGAATATGACAGAGTGGTTTTAAAAAAAGAAAAAAGTGTAGCTCGTTCTTTACAAGGAATTGTGAATTCTCTTAATTGCTTTCGTCAAAAGAAAAATAAATTACTTCTATTTCAAGAATTTGTTCCCTTCTTACTGTTTTACACGTTTCCCGAGTACTTTGTCTTCTCTGTATCATAGAAATTCTCATCTTCAGTTCCATGCTTGATCTCTGTATTCTCTCGCCCACCCACCAGATTCCACTCTCAACGTGTTAGTGATATCTTGGAGATCAAAAACTTCACCTTTTATAACGTTTTCATTACCCCAGCATTTAGAACGACAGCACAGGGAATGTGGTCACAAATTTTTGCACTGACTGTGGCGTTACTTGTACAGAAAGACATCAAGTAACTCCAGCGAAAATTCCCCTTTTCGCAAAACTATTACATATATTTAAATGTGATTGAGCTGTTGGTTAGATTTTCTATCGGAAGTACACTTTGTTCATACTCACTTGAATTTACAACTGTAAAAGCAGCCTAGGTCACATTTGATTTATATTTGATTTATATTTGATTTCGGGAATGATGCTTCTAATAATATTTTTAATAAGATGGCCTTCCTTTATTATGTGACAGTGGCCATTAAGAGGCAGTGTTATCTGTTACTCACATCACTGGAATATTTGTAACTTAATTAGGGACCATACACAGCAGAGGAGGCCAGAGCATTAAGGTCTTTACCAGCTCTGCGTCCTCTTTGTTCGCTCTCAATATTCAATTCTGTGGATTTGAGAGATTATTTTCAGGTCACTACAGCTGCTAATAAGTACCTTTTTGTTTTTGTTCTGTGCAGCCATGGACTTATGACCCTTACAAAGGAATGTAATATGATAGCTAGTATCATGCTTATAAGTGGCCTGGGTTTATAGGGTGCTTTATAAATACCCACTGGAGAGCTTCATCTCTGGGTGGGGCTGGGGGAGGGGGGCGGGAATGCAAGATTAACGGAGTAAATCTGCACATCCTCCGTGGCGCATGTGACATTTTGACAAGGGTGCCGTTGCTAAGGATTAATTCTCAAAATTTAATAAAGTCAACTTTGTCCATTTTGCTCTTAGCTCCTGGTATTACTGCCTGCACATTGCTGGGATCTTAATATTATTGTTGCTGCCGGTGAAAAAAACTCAAAGAGGAAAGACTACACATGAAAATGTGCAGCTGTCGCCATCCAGAAAGTTCGATGAAAGAGAAAATTCTTTGGGACAGAATAGTTTTTCCACAACAAACAATGTTTGCAATCAGAATCAAGAAATAGCCTCTAGACATTCATCATTAAAGCAATGAAGGGGAAAACACTCTGATGGCTATTTTGTCTCTGTTAACAGAAACCAATCTTAGCACCTTTTGGAGGGATTTGTGTTCGTTTGAAAAGAGATGAAGTGGGGGGCAAATGGGACAGATCTAGATGGGGAGTTTCCAGTATACCAGATTGGGAATGGAGCGAATAACCCCTCCCATGCCATGTCCCTGGGGGCCACGCCTTATATAAAAATATTTCCATGATCTCAATGGGCACTCAGGACCTCTGCAGATGTTGTAGGGTGGTACGTGTGCCCCTCTTGCTGAATGTATGTTGCGTATCCCAAGGCACTGACGGGGTGAAAGGGTAACCGTGTCAATCTGGAGGATGGACAAAAATTGACTTTTCCAAATGAATGTCTTGCCTTAAACCCTCTATTTCCTACCATATTGTTCCTAAATGGTATTTTCAAGTGTAATATTGTAAGAACGCTATTTCAATATTTGATGTCATGGTCTTGTAAAGGAATTCCAGAGGAATTTGAAACAGGATATTTAAGATCGTGGACACTTTAAAAATGCAATAAACATCTCAGTATTTGAAGGGTTTTCTTAAAGTACCTGAAATGACCATTGTACGTAGCGAAACTAAACAGAAAGGGATGCCAAATTATAGGTAGCTTATTTTCCTGGAGAATTTAATTACTTTGTGTCGGTCAGAGCCCATCAAGGGAGAATTTCTTCAACATAATTAAAGGTTGGTAATGCGATATTTTAAACTTATTTTCTTAAAAAAAAAAAAAGGAAAGAGAACAAGAGAAGATGATGAAGGAAGGAAGGAAGGAAGGAAGGCAGGCAGGCATGGATGAAGAAAGCACCATGTGGACTGGAGCTGGTGGCAGCTGGGGCAGGGCACAGACCAGGTGCTCAGCAGAGTGCTTTTCCCCTTCATGTATCTGAGTTCTTTTTGATTCTGTAAGATGTAGAAGTGTAATGACTTTTTAATATGTTGGACTTTTAAATGAAATTTGCCAGGCAAAAATCATATATAATTATGGCAGGATTAGGAAAATAATAGTGGTAGATGGCACGAGGGCTGTGTAGGAGAAATCACTGGGTTAAGGTAACAATCTGTCTAATCGCTTCCTTATCCTTGACAGCTTAAGTCATAATTGGGAACGTTTTAGGGAAATGAAAACTTACAGTCATCGGGTCTGACCCACCTTTTTAGAGAATAAAAGAAATTAGTTTCCAAACTCTTAAATTCTCACTTTCAAATTTGGCTCTTAACACTTTTTAATGAGTTTTAGGTTCTATGAGTAGGAAAAAAACATGCTTCTAGCATATAGACCATTTTCACCACAGTTAATCTCATTGAATTATCAGATGTCTCTGTTAACCCCACAGTCTTGGGGTGGCCGCAGTGGCTGAAAGCAGAAGAGTGGGCGGCAAGGCCACCCTGGTATGGGCTTCAGGCACAAGACTTGGAGGTGAGAGAGGAGGTGAGCGGGGCCTTCTGACTCCACCTTTATTTGACCACTTTATTTCCTTTCTTGCCTTAAATTTTCAATGAAATGCAAATTGTCTATGGTGAGTATATATATATATTTTTTAATTTTTGTCGTGAATAAGTTTGCAAATGCAGTTACCGCAGAACAGCCATCTGGCTTAAGCTCTGTGGTTTTTCATTTAAAGAAGAAAGAATAACAACTATACCAGGAACTTTTGAGGTCCTCATCAGCAAAAATATCAGTGGATCTTTTTTAGAACTTTAGAAATATCCTAGTCTTCGATTATGTAAGATGTTTTTATTTTTCTAAAGGTAAATTTTTTCCACCTGCCGAGGTTAGCCAAACCCTGTTACTTCCCAGAAAAGGAGAGGTAGCTAAATAAATTTTCTCTGTTTTCCCACACACTGAAATTAAGCCAGCTGTGGGGTTTGAGAGGATAGAAAAGAATAATCATGGAAAGTATCTGCCCCTAAAAGATCTCCTTAATTAATGCTGCAGAGATCTGATAACTACTTTAAAAAAAAGGTAGATAAATTTAGGGTTTAAAGGACAAGTCTAGACATGTTGTAAGTAAAAACAAGAAAGCTTAACAAAACTCTTTCTCAGCCCAAGTGGCCATTTATAAATAATCACTATTTATTTCTATTACCTGTGTCATTTCTCAGCCTCAAAACCTAAAATCACTGTTACCTATTTCATGACGCTGTCATTGCAGAGAGCAAGATGACTAAGAATTCTCCAGTTCCTTTGAAGATAATACATTATCTATACAATTTGAGTGATTTTCGTCCCCTGGATCAACTAAGTTTTGTTTGTTTGTTTCTTGGGGTTTTTTTTTTTTGGTATGAAATGGGTTTTGGATAGCTTTTCTCTAATTTTGGAGGAATTAAAATAAGTTTGTAACCTAGTAGAAAAGCTAAAGAAATAATTCTAATTCTCAACTTGACTTTTCTCCTCAAGAAGAAACTTTTTGTGTTCTATGAAATGAATATATCTGCTTGGAGTGTTACAAGGGTTAATGCTTCCCTTCTACTTAGAGTAGAAGATTTGAAAACTGGTGTATATCTCTACATACTGTTAAGTATAAAGGGATTCATTGTACTATGTGCTCCCTGGTCTTTTAATCAACAGAACAAGATGCAGTACATATTTATATTATTTCTCCACTCTTTAGTTGTCATGAAATCACTCCAGAGATGATCTGTGACCATCATACTTAGACTTTTGGTTCAGGTTCATTATTATACTACTCAGGGAAAAAAAATTGAACAAAAATAATTACTCTTCCCTCAGTTTCATTTTCTTAAAACAGTAACAGTTAATTTCATGTATGTCAGGTATCACCATTTTACAAGTAACTTATCCTCAGTTTTTTAAAAAAGCGTTTTTATTGGAACTCAGGGTAATTGGGGAAATGTACTTACCTTCTAAAACATCTAGCCTGATAGAGAGGGTTTATTTGGCTTCAACAATGTCCGGCTACCACCATACTTTTAGTTAAAAAGTATTTGTGTCATCAACCCCTGCCATGTGTGACATTCACATACAGGATTTCCACAGATACCAGTTTTCAGAAAAATTTGCAGTAAAAGAGAATGGTTCTCTAAAAAAGCAAAGGTAACTCGCATTGAAGCACTCATTGCCCTGGGAGGAGACCTGGATGTTCATCTGGCTCTTTTATTAATCAGTTGGGATTTGGGCAAGTTACTTGTCTTCTAAATGAAAGTTCCTTAATAAGAAATTAAAGGATCAGTTCCGTAAGTTTATGACCAGTTGTGTATGTAATGAGTGGAAGCCATTAGCAAGACTTGTAAGAGTCATGGACAAAGGCAGATTCACAGTCACAACTGTTATTGTAGTTATTTATTTTTATTGAGCTCAAAGCCCTGACTTTTCAAAAGGTTTTCTTGGCAACAGAGGAAAACCTTACAGTCTGTTAAATCAGAAGGCGTGGCGCCATACCATTTCCCCTGAATGTAGCCCTTAAAGAGAACTTTTGAAAATGAAATGGTCTCTATTGAAGGCAACCTATTCTCCTTTTGCTTTCTCTGCTTCTTTGGTTGGTTGTGCTAGGTGAAGCTGAAGGTGCTCTACGCTAGAAAAATGTTAGTACAAACCATCAAGTTTACTGGACAGGATCTTACCATCATGTAACTTCTCAAATATTATTTCATTCAAAGATAGTTAAGGCACATTTAATTTAGTTGCACATTTTAAACTACAAAAGAAATGACATTAAAATTTTGCCATTAAAATAATTACAAAATGTATACTTTTATTCAAGGACTAGATGACATCTAGGACAAAAAAGTTTTTCCTATTTAAAATTCCTACCTTGTAAATTTTAATTTGTATATTCATGAGCAGCTCTGGACATTTATACTGTTTTGTTTCCTTGTTATAAACTTTCAGATTGTTAGTTAATTGACTGTAAGAGTTCTATGTTATGATTGAAAGAAAAAGATTATTGGGGAGAATAATTATTTCGGAATGGTGCCCGTTACTGTGATGTCAATGAAGGATTTGTCCGGAGTTTTAAATATAAACCAGTATTTTATGGAGGTTTTCTCAGCCACCCTAGTCTATCTTGGCTGAAATTGAGTACATCAGATTTAACATAGGTGCGGAATTCAACATAACACTGTGAAATGTAATCTTAACTGCCCTCAAGTACCTTATTAAACTCTTACTCTGAACCCAGTGTACATTTAGTGAATGGCTTATCATTGCTACAGGTATCTAAGATGCAGAAAGTTCTGTTTTCTGCAGTGGTCCTTCTAAGACCGGTTTGTACCAGAGCATGCATGTTCCTGATGGTGAAGGAAGAGATTTGCTAGGTTGCACCTGAAACCTGGATTTGAATGATCAGCGTGTCGAGGTCTGTACAGTGTTTCTGCAGCACCGTGTGTTCGAATCGATTTACAGTAACTCTCATTACAGAAGAAAATTTAAAATGAAATCTTACACGTTGGTATTTTGTAGGAATGCTCTTAAAATCAATGACTAGGCTGCTTTTTTGAGGCTCTCGTTGTACAGAGGATGCAGCCAATTACATTTTAATCGGTGGGCTGCTTATTAATGTTTTTATATGTTTTGAAATAATATTTATTTTAATAGATTTTTAATATGGAAATCCTAGTAAACAACTGACAAGCTCTGTAGGTTACTGATAGGGAGGACTTTCTGGAGTGGAAGCCTGAAGACACACACTTCTTTGCCGAGTAATTTGTCTTACCTTTAAAACTCACTATACTCGTTGTCTTCTGGTAACCCTTTTGTAAGGCAAAATCAAAACAACCCCAAGACTATGTAGTTCTATAAAGAATAATATAAAGATCCATGCGAAATCACTGTCTAAAGCTCACTCAATGATGCATGTTTTACCAGATTTTTGCTCCTGTGAAAAGAAATGGAAATAAAATAATGAAAAACCGAAAGACACAGAGCAACATCAGTAGAATGACTAGCCGTTTTCCTAAGAACACGTTTGAGATGGAAAAAGTGACTGGCTGCCTTTTACCGGAGTCGTAAATGACTGTGTCCTGCCCAGTCTCTGTTTGGGGTAACTTCTTTGAGAAATTAATTTGGTAGTATCCCTTTTTGTCCTTCCTTGCTCAAAGACAAACACATGTAAAAGAGTTCGACAGACTTAGAAGATAGGCCTCTTCCCAATTTGAAGTATTTTTGGTTCCGTATGTGCAGATTTGTCAACAAAGTACATTTGCCCTGGCTTCTTGTCACAAAGAGGAAGGAATCCAGCCTCCCCCCTGCAACCAAACATGTTCCAAGCCAGCCTCCATCCCTGGCACCTGGGCACCGGGGCACGACCACCTCTCCGAACCAGAAGGGCACGCTTCTATAAAGCAGTAGGAATGAAAGTAAGAATAATTCAGGTGAAACAAGAGAACCCTTCCACATGAAGAGTGAGATTGTGTGAGTTCATTCCTGCCTTCCTTTAAGAGCTGTATCCTGATCCCTGCCTGGGAGTAGTTGGACAGTGTCGCCCAAACGGGGAGGGCCCCAGCTCCGCAGCCAGTATTTACAGTGCTCGTCTGCCTTCCCTGGGTGAGACTAGAACGTGGCGTCCTGTGCTTTTTGTTTTTATTATTCCAAAATATTTTTTTAAAGAAGTGTTATTTTTCAACAGATCCATAAATTAGTTCTTGTTGTATGGTTCTAAGTTTAAACTACCCCCGTGTCAGTTACACTGTGATGTGATGATTTCATTACTGCTCATTTTTTTCCAGTCTGTGTCCTCAGCGCTGCACTGCTGGCTTATTGCTGGGTTTTAAAGATGTTTTTAACTTACATATAAATGTTTTTTTCTAATTTGTGTGTCTTTAAAAATGATTAAACTGTAGTTTAAAAATACTTTTGTGTGTTGTGTGTGGGTGTGTTTGCTAACTCCAGAGGCTTTAAATTCTGTCTATAGAACTGAACACCGGGCCTTTCCCATCATGAGAGGTGATACCCCCCCCCTTTTTTTTAAATTGAAGGATTCTTCAATATGATGGTAATATTCTAAGGAGTCATTGACTCTTCTAACTGCTTAAAAATTATTTAAAACAAAATGTAGTCACATTGTAGGCACTTTGGAAGACAGTTAAAACAAACTCACGGGTGCCTGGCTCGCTGAGTTGATAGAGCATGTGACTCTTGATTTCGGGGTTGCAAGTCCAAGCCCCATATTGGGCATAACACTTCCTTTTAAAAAACAGAACAAAAGCTTTAAATTAGTATATGGTATCCATAGCAGAGCACAGGCACTCCCACTAGATTTCTGTGCATGATTCCAAACTCCAGGGAACTGTGAAGTATGCTTCCAGAGGCTCTTCTAGGCTCTGTCATGAACAATTGTGGAGGAAGCCGCTCTAAACTTGCACTGTTGCACAAAGATGCCAGGCTGAACACGTCCAAGGAAGTCCTGTCTTGGTGCTTTCTCACTGGAAGGCCTTAGGCTGTGATGGCAGATTCAATGACCCCATTTTGAGATGCAGGGCTGTGCTGAAATTGGGCCATGAGTATGGACACAGCAGCCGAGCTGCCTGCCAGCACATCCCTTCCATGCGTTTATCTTGACAAGCACGACAGACGGCTTCAGTAACTCAATTTGCTTCACAGTCAGGAAGGCCCCGGAAGGCCAGTTGATAGCAGGCCTCCTATTATATGTAGATGGACATTGTAATATATTTTGTATTTTGTCTTTGAACTGTTCATTCCACAATTATTTAATGAGTTCCTACCCATGTGCTGGGTAACTGCAAAATAAATCACTGCCCTTGGCTTCAAGAAGCTAATAAATGATTACCATATAGTACAGTAAGTGCTTTATTCAAGCCATGCACAAAGGGCCTGTGGAATCCGAAGGGGGCAGGGAGCCTGGGAAGAGCTGGGGAGAGCTGTGCAGAGGAGCTGGCACTTGGGTTTGGGAGGAAGTGTTTTTCTGGCTGCAAAAGATGTGGGAGGGGCATTATTAGAGGAAGAAAAAAAGCCTATGTCAAGAATGATACCGTATGACACAGAGAAGAAAACACGTTTATGTCCACTATGTGCCAACTACCCAATAATAACTTATCTTCCCTCCAGTTAGAAAAAGGAATAACAGGGAAAAATTGAGTTGACAATTTTTTTTAAATAAAAAATAAAACTTCCCAAATTTTTCAAGCATATGGTTGGTTCACTATAGAACACTATAATACACATTCATGTGCCCACTGCTCAGATGGAACAGGTGCTTTTACCACATTAGATTCAACATTTGCTTTTTTTTTTTTTTTTTTTTTAATAAAAAGTTGGGATGCCTGAGTGGCTCAGTGGTTGGGCACCTGCCTTTAGCTCAGGGCGCGATCTCGGATTCCCAGGTTCAAGTCCCACATTGGGCTCCTTGTGTGGAGACTCCCTCTCCCTCTGCCTGTGTCTCTGCCTGCTCTCTCTGTCTCTCTGTGTCTCACAGTCTCTCTGTGTACTTAAAAAAGTACATTGGACATAAGACCAGCACACCTTCCCCTTCTTCCTCCCTCAGAAGTAACAACTGTGTCAGTATGAGCCTCTTTTGGTTATATTTTCATTTGGTTGCCTTTCTTTCTTTTAAACTTAGCTGT